TATGCACGTGTAGAAGAAGGTCTTTAAGAGTCTCATTGCTACCTTGATGGACACATGCAAGTCAAAGGATGGTATGAAATCACGGAAAGACATGGTGCAGCTAAACGTGATGCCACAACTTCACCCGGTACCTGAGGCTAATGGAAAATACACTCTACCCGCGGCGTGCTTCAACCTAACACCAGACGAGAAGAAGGCTATATGCACTTTCCTAAGGGTGGTCAAAGTCCCAACTGGGTTTTCAGCAAATGTGAAGAAGCTAGTGTCGATGAAGGACTTGTCAATAACATACTGCAAGGCTCACGATTGTCATGTGATTCTGACAGTGTTTCTACCTATTGCAATCAGGGCTATAAAGCTAGAGTTCTTGAAAATGGCCATCACCCTCATATGCTACTTCTTTTAGAAGATCTCACAAAAGATGATTGGCAAGCAAAAGCTGAGTGACCTATATGAATTTGTGGTGGAGACACAAAACTAACTAGAGATGTGTTTACCTCCTGCTTTTTTTTGATATAATGCCATATCTCATGATTCACATGGTTCATCAGATACAGGCGTTGGGCCCTTGCTACTTGCATGAAATGTGGTCCTACGAGCGGTTCATGTCGGTTCTAAGTCGATACGTGCATAATCGAGCATACCCAGAGGGCTCCATGATAGAGGGTTACAATACTGAAGAAGTCGTCGAGTGCTGTCAAGAGTACCTAAAAGTATATAAAAGGATTGGTAAACCCGATTCTCGTCACAAGGGTAGGCTGGCTGGGAAGGGCACCAGTGGTAGAAAAGTGTTCATCGACCATGATTACAAAGAGGTGAGTCGGGTGCATTACAATGTCTTGTAGAGTACACAACTGATGCAACCGTATATTGATGAACACTTGGCTATCATTATGGCGGAGAGAAATGGTCGTTCGGATGATTAGGTCATGAAACAGCACAAGCAACGACTAACTACATAGTTGAAGGACTAAAACATACCACCTGGAGAAACCATAAACTCTATTACCATCAGTAGGTTGGCGGAGGGGCCATCGAGACAAGTGACATCTTGGAATGCTTATGACATCAATGGGTATACGTACTATACCCACGCAAAGGATAGTAAATATGTGAACCAAAACAGCGGCGTTCGAATAGAAGCTCTCGATGGATTGGGGTGAAAGATCCAATACTTTGGCATCATTGAAGAGATATGGGAACTTGACTATGGAAGGCACATGTACAAGAAACATGGCAGAGATCGGGAGACTAATCTTGACCTCCAAGTGAAGGCTCTAGTTGCGAAGGCGCTGGAGGAGCAAGGACTAGCTACGGAGCCACGGATATTAATAACACGCCGGGAGAACTAGCATTAGTTGGCAGCCCTCCAAAAGTTCCTAGCAGCCAAGGTTCCACTGCAGCCACAACCCCCGTCGATCGCATACGGGAACCAACTAGTTGCACCTTGGTGTTTCTCAGTGACCGGTAGAACATTGTGATGGAGGTGGCAACGGGTGTGGCACATCCTCCCGGTGGCTTATACCACAATAATAAGATATCGCCGGACTACACTAGGGTCGAGGTGCATACCGTGAAGCACGAGTTCATGTAGTGGAGGATAGAGTACGCAACTCCCGAGGGGCTGGTGTTACTCGGAGACATAATGGGGCAGTTCATCCTTTGGCACAAATTGGATATTATATTGATTGCTTCTTCGCCGCATCACCTCTCCCAAATTTGGAGCGAGTTGTTCAGGTTGGGGAGATATTTTCATTGTCTCGTGACCACCATATTCTTGAGATGCCACATTCTTTCCCGCCTCCTAGCGAGCATGTGCCTGATAAGCAACAACCTTCTCCAGCTCGTACCGAGCAAGTGCATGATGCGATGCCACAGTCTTCTCAACAAGCACAGCCGATACATGAACAACGAGTGCCTCTTGAAGAAGGTGATGCACAAGAAGATGAGGACGTGCCTGAATAGGAACTTTGAAAGAAGCATCCAATCACCATAAGACCAATTTATGTTTCGATGAAAGGCGTCTCGTCGGTGCATAAGTGGTATTCCTATGGCCAGTTCAAGCTTGAGAACCAAGTTAAAAAGTCCCATCATGGGCTTCTGAGGAGGCCGTCACTAGCAAACTCCACCAAACAGCAAAGCAGTATCCAAATGTTGATGCCATCAAATGGTTAAAGGATTGCCCAAAAACATATGAAAGAGGCAAGTCCTTCCTACCAAACCGGGACATCCAACGCCTACCACTTGGAATGAGAAGGTTCCATGATTGGTACTTGCGTGTTCTCGCAACGAGCATAGACCTCGTACAAGCATGCTTCCCCACTGGCATATTTGGAAGCCCAGTCGGGAAAATTGTCTTTGACTTCAATGACATGCAGACATGCTTTCACCTCGGAGCAATGGAGATGAATCTAATTCGCACGTGGTGCCTGTAAGTCCTTGTCCTCCCGATATGATATGAATGTAATCTTTGAATTTTGTTGTAACTAACCCACGCCGTGATTTGTAGAATGCAAGTGCACATTATAAAACAAATGCCAAGTATAAAAGCCAGGTATATAGACCCTCAAGCTATAGCACAAACAAATTTTAATTACCCTAAACAATGGAAACTGGATGACAAAGAGCTAGCTGCTGAAAAAACCCTTTGGGAGAAAGAGCACATCCATACGAAGAAACTAAGGGAAGAGTCCCTTAAGGTTTCGGCATACATTGCCCTGGCTTTTAAAATTCTCCAACAGCACTCTAATATATGACTACCATACAACTTTGAGTAAGTTCAACTCTATACTTAAAGCTTTGTTCGATATATTTTATTCGATGCAAAAGAGCTTATCTAGTTCTATGATTAAATCCATGCAGCAACCACTGGATTTGTATAGACGTCGATGTCGGGAGGAGCATGGCATGGGTCTTTGATTCAATAGATAGGGACCCGGTGACATACAAAGATTTCATATCGATTCTCAAGACGTATACATATCGACAATCCTCATTAGCTTATATATTTGTATATATACTTGTAACATTCACTTTTAGATACTAACAAGTTGTATTTACTAAAATAATTCGAACAGGACATTTATGTTCTATGTCACTAAACATCACGGAAGGCATGATCTAGTAAGAAAGGAAAATCTGGCTATAAAAATACTATGTGCGGTAAGTGTAACTTACTTCTTTAGTACTCCATTACATGACTGTCAAAAGCATTACTTAACATTTCCATATACAAAACACACAGTGCCCCAAGCAAAAGCCTAAGAGTGTACATTGTGGATACTATGTATGTTCTATGATGAGTAACACCGGTGCTTACAGGAGACATCCCTTAAGGGTAAGTTTGAACCTCTTCACCCGTAGTATAAAAAACTTCGTACATGGTATGAAATACTAAACCCAAACTTGTTCTCTTGTAGTGGAAAGAAGAGAAAGAAATAAAAAGAGACCCATAAAAGGATGACCAACTCTTAGAGCTTGTCGGCGACCTTTGCAACTTCATATTGGACCAGATTGTACGCGTCAAAGGCACCTACCACGACCGAGAGTCTGACTTAGGTAGAAATCCTCAGTACCAACACCTTCGTGAGACTGGAAGGCTAGCTCTAGGCCGTTGATAACAATGTGTATGGAATTTGATATTAGTTTTACCTTGTGAATTATGTCTATTTAATGATGGATTATATATATTCTGATGAATTGGATTTGTAATTGTAGTTTATATAATGCTCTTGTGCTTGTAGTTTATATAATACTCTTGAGCGAACACGGTTCGGAACGTTGGTCGCAGGGCGTTCGGTGGGACGTTGAGCGAACGCGGTTCGGAACGTTGATCGCTCACTCGCAACACGAACGCGGAAACAAATAGGGCGGTTCTGGCCGAATTTGAATTGTAAATTTAAATTTTTTTTTCAGAAAAATATACTGTAGGGACGGTTCTAGACTGAACCGCCTCTACAAATAGGTATTATACAGCCGCCCCTACAAATCGATTTGTAGGCGGCTCGGAAACCGCCCCTACAAATGCACGATTTGTAGAGACGGTTTGGTAGGGGCGGCTGGCTAAACCGCCCCTACAAATAGTCTTGAGCCGCCCCTACAAATGATATCTGTAGTAGTGAAATCGCCACTTGACCAAGCGTAATAAGCGTCGCCCGTTTTGGTACAAATAAAAATTTAGCTCCACAAGTCTCTCATGCATGTGGTGACCTAAACCTTCTTCATTTCCTTGCTAGCGTTACTAAAAATGTAAATGACCCTGGCCTCATTTACTTTCTTTTTTTTGCCTAGCTCGTCGACTATAGAGAGAAATACAAATCTTGACATCAGGGTGTTGCCAAAGCAACTATAATGACCTTAACCAAGATTTACTCGGGGGCAAAAGAGGGATAAGCAAAAGAGATCTGTATAAAAAAATGAGTATAAGTGAGGCATTATGGAAAGATGGTATGTTTAACAATCCCCGGTCTAAATCTCATTAGCTTAGGCTCTGTTTGAAACCATTAGCTGCTAAGAGTTCGTTTGCTAATAGTTCATAGCTAATATTAGCTGCTATTAGCTAGTTTGATTCAACTAGTGAAATAGTTGCTAGTTGGGTATTCAACAAACAATTAGCTAAACTATAAGCTATACTTGTTTAGTTCCAAGGTGTCATTTTTTTAGAAGAATCCAAACATGGCCCAATATTAACAACACAACATGGCCTATGTGGGATTAGAGCTAATAAGAGTGGGGCTAAAGTAAAACAATTGGGTCGTTATATGGAGTTAAGAGACATGAAACACTTTATATGGTTTTCTTTAAAACATGGTACTTATATGTTGAGAACTAGGTGCATCCATAAAACACCTCAACGGCATTTGTTTCAAAATAAAATAATGTCCGCCACCACCACAAAATTTCTCAATATATATACATATTTCGTTACTATATTCAGAATCACGCGCGATTGGAAGGCACGTACTCCGCAAGTACAAGCCCACCTCCTGGGCGCTGGCAGCATGGAGGACTGGGCGATGGTGGACATGTGGCTGCAGGTGGAGGCCCACCAGCACCACCCAGCCGCGGCCGCCATCGCCCGCGAGTGCATCGCCGCGCCCACCTTGCTTGGCCGCGTGCCCAACCAGACCGTTATTGACGAGAACATCAAGAAACTTAAGAAGGTGCTCGAGGTGTACGAGACATGGCTGAGCAAGTGCAGGTACCTCGCCGGCGACTTCCTCAGCCTCGCCGACCTCAGCCACTTCACGGTGATGCACTACTTCATGGGCACCGAGTACGCCGCGCTGGTGGAGGCGTGCCCACACGTGAAAGCATGGTGGGAGGAGCTCGCCGCACGGCCGGCGGCCAAGAAGGTGGCAGGGTTCTTGACCACTGGCTCTGGGGTGGCCTTAGTTTCTCCCCTAAAGTTTAGTCCGTCGATGAGAGATGTGGTTTCAGACCTGGAGCATGCCCTTAATAAGTTGCAGCCTTGCAGGAGAGTGCAGATGCAAGCGAAGGAGATGTAGTTTTAGACCCGGACCATGCCCATAAGTTACAGGAGAGTGCAGGTGCAAGCGAAGGTGCAAAGATTTTGCCGTCTCGTCTGTGCCGCCAGTAGTTCTGTCTTGCAGAGATGGAGGCCGTGACAAACAACTTTGATAAGTCACTCCTTATTGATAACAGCGGTTTATTTGGTAGAGTTTTTCATGGAAAGATTGATGGAGCGGCAATAACCTTTGTGGATGCTATGCATGTCTACAGCATACGTGCCTTCCATAGCCTGATAGAGATTATGTCGAAGCCCGGCCATGTTCAGCGATCCAGAGTTTTTGTACAGGGACTATGTCAACTTTGTTACACACAATTCAAGATTAGATTATTTTACCCTTGTTTCTATGAGGTTGTGTATCCGTATGTGTCCCCTTGGCGGCAGGAGACTGGCCTCTCACTTTGCTCGAAGCTTTCGAGGCCGGCACACGCATAACCTTGAAAATTTTCTAGGCCTAGCTTTTGCTCAGCAGGGCCCCAAGAAGCTTTGATCCAAGCGCCGTATGGATCGAATGGATGCGCGCTCAGCCTCCGCTCTTGTGTTTACGGCACGGGCACACACCTCAGCCCGATTCTTCGTGGTATTTGTATTTTTTCAAGATGATCGATCAATGTCAAAGAGAACAAACTTCACAATTTTGGCCATCGATCTTTTATTTTGTTGAAAACTTGTGATGTTATGATGATTACCTCTATATGCATTCCGAGACAACTTTACATGATAAAAAAGGCACGGGGTTTCTTCCTCAGGATGACGATGAGTGTGTCAAGATATTGAAGAGATGGCGCCGGCTATTGCATGCCTGCAGATCGACAAGAGAGGGCGCCGGCTGTCCGGCCTGCGATACCTCCACAGGATGCAGGAGGCCTGTTCTCACGGCGGGGAGGTAATAATCATGGACATGGTAGTTGGACATCATGTCTCCGTAGTTTTCACATCACATGTAATTAGATGCTTTACTCAGCTTATTACAAACTCAAAGTAAAGGCTCCTACATCATGTCTCATAATATGCTTGTACATCGGATCTTCTCTAGATGCTTTGTGTCAGCTCTCAAGTTGTGGAACCTTGTCATGTCCATGATTATTACCTTCCTGACTGCATGCCAACGTGGAGATTTTGTAGTCTTTGAATCCAGCTTCATGCAATCTTGTTTCTTCAATATCTTAACACACTCATCGTCACTAGATATTTTGGCCCCAGTCACCTGTAAAGTTGTCTGGAATGCATAGAGGTAATCATCATAACATCACAAGAAAAAAGGATCGATGGCCAAAATTTGAAGTTTGTCTTTGCTCCTCCATCCGATACATTGATCTGGCATATGTTTCAAAAGCAACCGCTGTCACTCCAGTCAAAAGGTAATGTACATCTGACCTGTCAGATCGTCACTGCTCACTCCATTCTTCGTGGTATTTGTATTTTGATGAGATCAATGTCAAAGACAAACTTCAGAATTTTGGCCATCGATCTTTTTTTTCTTGTGATGTTATGATGATTACCTCTATGCATTCCAGACAACTTTACATGACGGGGGTGACGATGAGTGTGTCAAGATATTGAAGAATTGCATGCAAGCGATACCTCCACAGGATGCAGGAGGGAAGGTAATAATCATGGACATGGTAGTTGGACATCAGTGACGATCTGACAGGTCAGATGTACATTACCTTGAGGAAAACAGCGGTTGCCGGCGGAATACTCTGAAACATATCGCCAGCGACCAAGTGCACGTTGGTATCGGATGGAGGAGCACCGGCGACGACGTGCAGGAGGTCAAGCACGCTGCACTTGAGATGCGGGAAGGAAGCGGCGATGGCAGTGGCGGCGCCGCCATGCCCACCGCCGACGTCGACCAACGAGTTGAGTCGATCCCACGAAACACCTCGCCGCACTCCCTGAGCATGATTGGCATCAGGAAGCGGCTGTCCGAGACCATGCCTTTGTTCAGTAAGGCGTTTATGTCGTTAGCGTGTTCCCAGAACGTCGGGAATGTTGGGTTGAACGTCAGGCCACACGGGGACGGATCGTTCTGCTCCAGCCGGAACCACGCGCACAAGCCAACGGCTTGCTGGGAGGAAGCGATAGGGTAGAGCGCCAGGCTCACGAAGGGAGCCAAGGTCGCCGAGCTCACCTCGTCGCTGACGAGGAAGCGGGAGGCTGCCGTCAGCCGGTAGACGACTGCAGCTTCGTCGTCCGATGCCGCGTCGGCGACGGTTGAATCATCATCTCCAGAACCAGAACCAGCTGGTGGTGGTTGCTGGACGTGGACGACGCTGAAGGTGCCCGAAACGGTGAGCACGCGCATGAGGCGGCGTAGGTGGAGGGCGGTCTCGGCGAGGATCTGGGGGAGGGTGGCGCCGCCGCCGTGGTGGTGGATCGCGTCGGGGATGCGGAGGTCCAGGGCCGTGGCGAGGGCGAGCGATTTGAGGTAGCTCAGGGACTGGTGCCATATAGCTCGTCGTGAGCTTGGAGCAAGTCCTGGTTACTCTCCTCCGTCTCCGTGAGTGCCATCATCGTGCCTGCCCACGTATAGTATACACTGGTGACTAGCTAGCTAGCTTATTCTCTTTCTCAGTTGCTAGCGCCTAGCGCGCGCTGGGTTCGTGTCGTGGCCGGATGCACCGATCGACGGAACCGTGTGTTTATTTATACAAGTGATCTGCTTGTGGCTGTGGTGCTCTATGCCTCTACGACTGCACCACACCTCGCTTAAGTGATTGGAATACGAACCGGTCAGTACTCACAAGTCACAAGCCACACGTGTTGCGTATACTCCCTCCATCCACGAAAGAACGTAATTCTCACTTTTCGAGAAGTGAAATAAATTCAATTTTGACTGCATTTGTATAAAAAAGCACTAACATTAATGATATAAAATAAGTACAATTAGATTAGTCTATATTTTCATAATAAATTTATTTAGAGACATAAATGCAAATACTATTTACTATAAACTTGGAGACAAATGCAAATACTATTTGGCATGTTGATCGACACTTGCTTGAGGTACTTCACCCTGCATAGGTTTGGTAGCACTTGTTTGATCTTCTGCATGCATCTGCTAAGTGCTAATTCTGTGGTGAACACTTTCTCAAGACTAAAATATGCTCAAAATACTTTGCAATTCACATGTGTATCATATGACCAGTTTGAGCATTTGCTAGCACATGGATTTATTGCTATACTCACATGACCGTATCACTTAGAGCATCCTTTCATTCTGAATGATCTACTTTTGAAGCTCTTGCATTCTGCATCCCACAGATATTATAGCATATTTTGAGGGGAAGTTGCAGTTTCTGGCTTTTTGGTGTGTGCTTGATGTGTGCATATATCAACAAGGGAGAGAAATGGCACACACAGAGTTAACAAGGGGGAAAACAATTTTTCGGGGGAGTTGCATTTGAGGCTGTTTTGCTAGTTGTGTTGCGCCTTTGCCTCTTCTGGAGGGACTAGCTTTGGTTTTGACAACTTTGTTTAGCAATCTTTGCTCTGATACTTAGCTAGTGGTGTTCAGCCCTTTCTGTCTTTTCTTGAGGACTAGTTGTGTTCTGCTTGGTTGCGTCGAGCCGTTGCCCATGTCTTTGGGGACCAAGTTTAATTTTCCTCATTTCAAATGACCCAGTTTTGGCTTTTCTTTGGGTTTTGGTCATTTGACTGGGAGCGGTGAAGGACGACCGACGTGAGGCTTGGATCGAGGAACCAAGGAGTCAGAGGACTGATCGTGGGTGTCTAACACTTAGGGACATCGACACGTAAGAGTACATGTGGAGGAGTGGACCATGTTGTCAAACGGATGCTCTAGAGGACTTAGTGATCGAGCGGTTGAAAGGTCCTTGTTTGGTTTTGGTAATTGAGTGACAACCTAGGTGGATTAATATGTGTTTATGTGAGATACACATGTGATTAGTCCACATGTACACTAGTGTGAGCAACACATGCCATGGAGGTGAAAATGGCTTGGATATGTTGCAATGCTCACACATGTGATGAAGGAGCTCATTGCATATGAGACATGACATGGAGTCATGTGACTAGGTGGAGAAGATCAAGATGAGGCTTGTCTTGATAGACTGGTTGCAAGCGTGAAGGGCAAGTCGAAGGCTTTGAAGCGATAAACCGTGTGACGGTGAAGCTTGAACAAAGACTTAGTTCCGATGGACCAAGACAACGGTGAAGTGCAAGTGAGGTTAAGATCAATGAACCAATAAGGCCACTTGTTGATATGAAGTGGATCATATCATTTGTTGATCAAGGTTGGTGCTTGTGTAGCATTAACATTGGAGGAAATGAAATGGAATGCGCAAGGCAAAGGTAATTTGTAGGGTATTTCATTTCACCGGTCAAAGGTTGTGCAGAGAAGTGCATGACCGGAATTAGGATAGATGGCCAAACTATCAAGAGAGGAAAACTTGTTTGCATATCGGTCATCTAGTGCCACTCGAGTGATCTAACTTTGCATGTGTTGCTAGGATCGATTGGCATGGTGAAAAGAGTGCTAACCCTTGAAAATGCTTTGGAAAATGCTAACACACGTGCACATATGTTAGGACACAATGGTGTTCGCACATGGAAGCAATGGTGTTGAAGTTGAGCTTGAAAAGATGAAAAACAAGCTCAGGACCCTGGTTGGTAGACCATAGGACCATGGGCTCTGAGTCCCGAGCTCAGGACTTAGGCTTAGGACTCAGTCCGGTGGTGCTCAGGACCATGGTTCATGGGTCCGAAGGTTCCCAAATAATTATGCGTAAGACAGAGAGTAGCCAAAACATGTCGGACCTAGGAGGCATGGTCCGGAGCTAGGCTCAGGACCGAGTCCAGAGCAAATTGTGCTCTCTGGACCCTTACTGGAGACCTCAAGATCGATCGAGGTGCGTGATGGTCCTGTTGGTGAGTCCGGAGCTCAGGACTGAGGTGCGCGATGGTCCTGAGGGTGAGTCTGGAGCTCAATTCGGAGGTAGTGTTGAGCGCGCGCGAAGTAGCCGTTGAGCTCCAACGGTCATATTCAAACGGTCATCACACGCCGCACAATCTTAAGCTTCGGACCCTAGTGGAGAATGGTCCTGAGCCTCGGTCCTAAGCTCGGTCCGACGGTCCTGTGGCTGACTTTTTCAGCAGCGGCTCTTTAGCCCTTGTGGGCTATAAATAGAGGTGATGCTCGGCCGTTGTAGGGTCGAGATGGCGGACTAGAGGGGGTGAATAGTCCTTTCAAAAATTAAACACGCTAGCTAACCGAAACAAATGTGGAATTAAAATTATCAGTCTAACCAAGACTACACCCATTTATCTAAGTTCACAAGCACCTTATAAAAATCCTAATTAGGCAACAAAGGTGTAGGCTAGCTAGAGCTCACCTTATCAATTCTAGAGCAAGGTCACACAAATCTATACAACTAGTACTTTAAGCACGGGGGAGCTCCTACACAATCTAGTAAGCAAAAGCACAAAGCTCCTAAGCTCACTAGCAATGCTCAATAACAAGGCTACACAAGCCAAATTAGAGAGCGCAAATCACTTAGCTACACAAACTAAGCAATGTAACTAACAAGGTTACTAAAACCAAATTAGCTACACAAGCAAGAAGGTAACTAGCAAACTACACAAGTCAACTAATTACAAGGGCAACTACACAAGCACAAAGTATATGAAAGTAATTACAAGCTTGTGTAAGGGGATTACAAACCAACAGGAAGACAAGGATGACACAATGATTTTTATCCCGAGGTTCATGTGCTTGCCAACACGCTAGTCCCCGTTGTGTCGACCGTTCACTTGGTGGTTCGGCGGCTAATTGGCACCATAGCAAGCCCACACATTGGGCGCCGCAAGAACCCTACGAACCAAGTGAGGGTAACTCAATGACACGCTCTACTAGATTTGCTGTTCGCGGCTACCGCGGGATGAGTACAATACCCCTCACAATCTCTACTCCGGAGCACCGCACAATCTTCTTTGTGTGCTGTGACGGAGACCACCACTAAGCCATCTAGGAGGTGGCAACCTCCAAGAGTAACAAGCACCACCGGCTTGCAACACGAACACCTAGTGCCACTCGATGCAATCTCGTGATACAATCACACTAGAATCACTCACTCGCAATCGATTCGCACTCTTGCAAGCACAATTGAGTTAGAGGCTCTCCTAGCACTCCCCAAGCATGGAAACTAAGTCCCAAGGGTGCCAAGCATGTGCCAAGGCTGGCCACACACTCCTTTTATAGCCCCAAGGGCAAAAATAGCCGTTACCCCCTGCATCCTGATTTCTACGCACTGACCGGACTCGCTGACCGGACTCACCCTAGAGTCTGGTCCAGAGTTCGGTCCGGAGTCCGATCACTGAGATGAAGCCACGTAGCCTCGCTGTTCAAAGATGACCATTGCTCGCCAATGGCTAGCTCCCACACGTGCATACTAGTACTTTAAGAACGCGCCTAGGTCCAGCGACCGGACGCGCCGAGGCTGAGTCCGGTCACCAACACGCCTCTTCACAACTGACCAGACTCCCCTTTCTCCTATGACCGGACTCAACTCTCCTAGAGTTCGGTCACTTCTAGAGATGTTCCAGAGAGCTCTTTTGATGACCGGACTCACTGACACTGACCGGGCGTGTCTGGTCGCAGAGTCCGATCATAGACCTTTCATCGCTAAAATGGCTATAACTCTTAGCTTCGAAGTCCGATTTCGATGATCTTGGTATTTTGGAAAGCTTACTCAGAGGGCTACACATCCCACTTCATATTTGATCTAAAGCACAATGGATAAAGGCATAATTCCAATCCATGAACCATCCTATAGTTCAGAGTACACCGAAAAACCTTTTTCTCTTCTCCAAGTTGATCCAATTCAACTCCAACAACTTCTCCTTTGCAAATGTGCCAACACCACCAAGTATACACCACCATGTGCAAGTGTGCTAACATTTCACAAACATTTTTTCAAAGGATTGGTCACTCAATTCATCACGCCACTCGATCCTAGTAACGATGCAAAGTTAGATCACTCGAGTGGCACTAGATGACCGATATGCAAACAAGTTTGCCCCTCTTGATGATAGTATGGCCATCTATCCTAAATCTGGTTATAAACTTCTCTACACACCTATGACCGGTGAAATGAAATACTCTACAAATATACCTTTGCCTTGCGTATTCCATTCCATCTCTTTTGATGTTGATACAACACATGCACCAACCTTTATCAACAATTGATATGATCCACTTCATATCATCACATGACCATATTGGTTCATCGATCTTGTCCTCACTTGCTTTTCACTGTTGCCTCGGTCCATCGGCGCCAAGTCCTC